GGATAACTAGCTGGTTGTTTACACAGCGAGGCAGGGCAGGTCAGGATTAGTTGAGTATCAGAGAAAGGAAGCAGCTACACCTGCTTGGTGTCATTCAGATACCCAGTTAGGGGCTTTGTAGTCTCTAGCAAGTGGGGTCCTGACTAGAGAAGAGGGACAAACTTCTATATGCTACTCTGAGCTGGAGCTGGAACCTTTCCTGTCTCTGACCTGCCCAGGCTTCTCACACTAGGAAGCCTCATTGCTCCTCTAAGAACTGTAGTCAATTGTCCATTACCTTCAAGATTCTTCTCTATCATCATACATATAGTCACCCATCCCAAAGACTGCTACTGAGTCAGCTGCTTCTTAGAATAATTCTACAGAGTTGGCAGGATTACCTTCATTCCCACGTTACAGGGGAGGGAACTGATACAAAGATCATTGGTGTAATGTACCCAACTCACACACATGAGGGTTCAGAGCTGCTATGTGAATCCTGACAAGCTGGATTTAGAATCTGGACTCTTTAACTTTGCTTGTATGTGCTTTATGTGGCATCTGTATCATCATCCCCTTGCAATTTTTCTTTAATCCAACTTTATTTGTTTTTAAAAACTTAGCCATAATATAAGCATAACAGACACAAAATCATGGATTCAATAGGCTAATTATATGAAATTTTGTGGATGCCTAAACATTCAATACTAATCCCCACGTTATGCCTACTCCTAAATGACCCCTAAAAATTTCACTGCCAGATCATAAACTGACTTTAGGAAATGCTGATTCTAGGAAATGGAGAAAGACTCATCCTCACCCACATAAAATGATTTTTTTTCAAGCTAGCAAGATTTTTCCAAGAATTGAAAATAGCAAACCTCTCAAATGCAGTCACTAATCTTAGGGTGATAAAAGAACAGGGACCTTAAATTCAAAGAGAATCAGATTCAGTAGTGGTTCTGCTGTTCACTACCTATGGGATCTTAAGAAAATTGAAGCAAAGCTGGAAACTCAGTTGTACTCCTCTCTACAACAGAAAAATGCCTGCCAGATGATGTTGGAATAAGATAATATGCTCAAAAGAACCCAGTTCAGTGGCCATCCCATGGTCAGCAAAAACGATCAGTCCACCCCATCCCATTACTGCTATTTGGGTTTTGTAAATATGAGGAGATAGAAGTCCAGTCTTTCAAAATCGACACTGAGAATGCTGTGGATGATTGGTGCAGCTGGCACTTCGCTACTCATGGCTGGACTCTTGCATCTGTGGTCTGACCGCTATGGCACCCTGTCCCAGTGCTGAACACAGGGGTCTGTCAACTCTGATGGAGGTGGAATAATCAGGTGGAGCAAGGCAGGAAATGTCCCAGAGAAGACTCTTCTGCCAGAGAGAACAGGTTTCTCCTGTCCATCTCCATGTAGGGTACTGGTCCCCACCCACATTGAGACCTGAGCAGGCTAAAGAAACTTGAAAGTTTCTTCTGAGCCTCTTAAGCACAAGCCAGGTACTCCAGGGATGTTTCCATAGACTCCACTACTCAGGCTGAGATTAACTTTAACTTTTAAAGCATATGCTTTCTCCATCCCTACTGAGACCACCTGGGAAATGATGACTGTGTTAAATGTCATTTAATATGATTTGCTGGGTGGGGGAATGCAACACTGTCCTTCGTTTAAATACAGGAACAGCCAGGACCAATCTGGCAGCTACTAAGATACTAGTTTGCCTTTATGCCATCTTTGCTCAGCAGAAGCTAGAGTCCAGATTGGCTGCTAGCAGCTGACGATGCGGATAGAAGGTCAACAATGCTATTAGGCACTACGTGGTCCTGTCTGTGTTCCACTGCTTGCTTTTGTCCCTCCTCATCTTTGTGTCTTTCAAGGTTTCTGCCTTCACTCTTCTTACAAGGCCTGTTCCAGAGGCATCTGCATGGGAAGGGACTTTGGGAGCCATCTTATTCAACAGAATTGTTCTTCAAAGGGAGAAGATGAAGCTCAGAAAAGCAGAGCGGCTACCTCAAAACCATCCAGCACAGTGGAGGAAAGCAGGGCTCCCACAGAGACCATGTCCAGCAGGAATTATAAGCTTAAACTGTGTGGCTCCCTCACATGGGCCTTTCCCAGTCTTACTTAGTTGTATGAGCTTAACCAGGTTACTTCATCTTTCTGATTTCAGTTAATTTGTAAAATAGTGTGACTAAGTTGCCAACAGTCACCTGCAGAACCCACAGAATTAACATCATCAACAACATCATCATCATCATCATCAGGAGTCTGCACCTGATTTGAGCTGCTTGATTCAGCCATATCTGAAGTCAGAACTCATGTTTTAGCTACCTGATTCAATAACTTCTTTACCCATAACCTAGTGTGAACTGGGTTTTGTTTCATATGCCAGAAAAACATTTTTTTTTCCTAATGCACCAATAGTCAGGGAACCGTAGCTAAGTCAGGCCCAGCTCTGCACTTGGGAGAGACAGTGAAGGGTAGGTAGTGGGTAGCCTTGCTCATGCAACAGGTTAGGCTTCAATTGACAAACAGGAGAGCAGCACATGATAGTATGTTGGCTCATTTTACTGTTAAATCAATACTAAACATTATTGCCTCAATTCATGCAAAGGAGACCATCCCAGCTGATGCACTGGAACTTGTGAGCAGTTCTGGTCAGAGATCTTTGGGTTTTAGGATTTCATGGGGACAGGCACAAGTAATATCTCTTCAGATGGCACTTTTCCTCTGCCCCATGCCATTTAGGTACCACCTCCTTCAATAGATGTGCCTTAATTTTAAAGAACCTACTCACATATCCAGGGGCACAGTTGTGGCCCATACACCACCTATTTCCATTCCTACCAGTAACATTATAGTTCTATAATTATCATGCTGATGATATCAACATTGAAATCATCATTATCATGGGAATTTTCTGTGCCAAGTATTTTACAGGTAGCATCTCATTTAATTCTCCAAACAACATTATGATTGTAGGTTTATTGATATTTCCACTCGTACCAAGGGAACAGTCTCAGAAAAGTTAAGACCACTGTCTAAAGCAAGACATCTAGGACATAGTAAATAAGGATTCTGACCCAGGAGGAGGAATTTCTAAGCCCATTATTTGAACCTGTGCTGTATGTAGCTCCTAGCAGAGTTCCTGGCAGACAGTGTACAAAGAATAAATACTGAATAGGTGTAAACAGTAGCATGAGGGCAGGTGGAGGTCAGCCGTGGGTTGTTTAGTTTAGAATGGGGCTCTTTCCCAGGGTGCAGCTTTGTTTCCACAGTCACTTGCTAGAGCCTTTGTGGAGGGAGGAAGGGTTTTCATTCTCTGTCTAAAGGAGTGGAAAACTAATATCAAGGCTACTTCTGATAACCAACCATCTCCACAGAATTGTGCCCTATCCTACCTTGATCCTATGGCTTTTAGATCAGAGAGATCTGCTATATAACCAGCTGTATGACCTTAGGGGAAAATTATTTTGTTCTCTCCAAATCTCCTCATTTTTTGGTGCTAGGTTTAGAACCAAGAGCCTCATGCATGCTAAGCAAGTGCTCTATCATTGAGCTACACCCGCAGCCCTGGGATAATAAATCTTACTGTTCCATTGAATGAAATTGGATCTTGTATAAAATGGGTCAAGGGGCTAGCAAAGTGGTGGACGGTTAATTGGAAAACAGTGTAATTTTTCCAATTCATCCAGTCAGATTTGTGTTTGACCTTTATGGCCCGAACATGCTACACTTATCTGTGCTAATTTGCAAAGCTTCTTCAATCTCAGAAACTCCTTTTAAATGTGATGAGGCCAGGCCAGGAGCTGGGCAAGGCCAATCTACACACAGTCAGCTGGATGAAATCAAAGGTACAGTTTAGAAAAATGATACAAGGTAAGGGTTAGGGCTTTTGAAAAGTTTGGGAAATCTGTTGTTTCCCCCTTAGGACTACTAGGTAAACTGAGTGACAGATCCAGTCAAACCGATACATTCTCCAGCAACGGAAGAGAAAATCTAAACCACATATTTCAAACTGACATTTCGAAGGGCATCAAGTTGGGAAAAGGACAGGTGAGGGCCATGATGACTTGGTGAATGAGGGTTTTGTCTAAGACCTGACAAAGACCTGTCATGAATGTTCCAGGAGAAAACTCAGATACAGCACTATGGATCTTTAGACTTCTCAAGTCTTCTAGCAGGAAGTCTGGATATTCAGGAAGAATATTCCTCTCTGTAAACAGGGCTATTAATTTTCAGAAGAAACACCTGAACTAAAACAAAATGCTAAAAAGGCCAAACACAGGCCATTAACAAGTTAAAAGGATCCTAGGAGCTTCAAGGTATGCTGAGTTCAACGTGGGGAAAACCCAGATCCTTCCTACAGGAAGCACTCAAGACTGTATCACTTCTAGCTGATCTCTGCAACGAGGAGCTGCTATTTTTGATACTGCTCATTTCAAGTGAGAGAGGTATTATGGATCTAGTTTGAGGTTTCAGATGCCTCTCATTCCTTGCTGACATCTTGGACAAAAATGAGAAGCCATGGGGGTGAGGGTCGGAGACTGAGTTCAATGTTGGTTTCTTCCACTGGAAAGTAAATTTCTGAGAGCCTGGAGCAGGTTTGGTTCATCACTAAAACAGGGCCAGACATGCAGTTAGTACTTAACAAATATATTATTTGTTGTATGGCTGATTCATGGAATGCTCCAGGTCTGTCACTTAGATGGTGGGCCTTTGTTTCTCCACAACAGAATGGGCTTTGGACCATGGCTGCTTTATACCAGGGCTCCCCTACGAGATAGTGGACTCAAGAAAAGGCTTGGGGAGTATCCAGGGTTACAGAGAAACATTTACTTATTTCTCTGTCTGGATGCCAGGAGAGGCCATTCAGAGGCCAGGCAGGCAGTCATTCAGACCTGATGTCTTGTGCCTTCCTCCCACCTGAACTGGCCTGGAAGGAAGCCGCCAAAATTACTGTTCTGATTTTCCATTTCTGTTTTACACAAGGGAGGGAAATGAGATGTTACCTTGCATTGTCCCGGCCATGTGACTTCAAGAAATTCATATCTCGATATCGAGAGAGAAAGGCTACCAGCTGGTCATTCGTCCTGTGGAAACAAATGGAGAGAAGAGTCAGAGACCATGGAGACTTTGGGTCTTCACTCCCAGCTCTGCCACAGAGCCAGAATTTGCTCTTTGGGTGCTTCTGCTTGACTTGCCTCTCCTGATCAGCACCACACAGATAAGGCACTTTCTTCATGGGTTTCCCCACCTCTTCCCCACTACAAAAAAATGGACTGTTGGTATATTTCCCTCCCATATACCTCACTGTATCAGGAAATCTTAGAGGACAAATATAGCGTTTTATGTGTTTGGACTCTAATACTCCACAAGGCTTGGTGAACCGAAATCATCAGGTAGCCCCATACAGAACAATCTCAGGTTTCTTGCACTAACTCTGCCTGGGAATTTTGCCCTGTATCTTCTCATTGCTTGCCTATTCTTGTATTCAAGTCTCCTTTCAAATGTCACCTCTTCATAGAAGCCTTTGCTAAAGTGGTGCCCCACATCCTATCACATCACATCACCTGTTTACTGTTTTATCACCACCAGAATGCACTTGGTTATGTCCCAGAGTCGGTTGCATTTGTTCACTGGCACATCATAGGAGCTATGTTAATGTGTGCTGAACAAATGAATGAACCCAGAGTGAGTAGAGCTTGAACTGAAGCCTTCAAGTGCAGTCTGAGCGATGAATGAATCTGTGAATGAGTGACTACCAAGTCTCCTTTCAACAACGCCTGGGCTACTGATTGAGAGAGCTTTAAAAAATATGAAGTGCAAAGCAAATGGCGACATCGTTCCTGGCATTGTTATCCCAAATTTATCGCCATCAATCTCGGCACTAGCAGTGCAGTCACAGCTAATCAGCTTGTGCATACAGCTGTGACAGTACTTTAAAAGGCAGTCACACGGGCCTCCATCTGCCAGAAACACAGTCGCCTCTTCCGCTGAATAAACCCAAACAGGTAAATGGTGCTGATGTGACAGCTCCTTTATCACCAGGCTGCTCTGTTGGGGGAGGTTTCCTCAGAAGGAAGGGGTTAACCATCATTAAAATAGGGAGAAGCTGGGAAGCGGGTAGGGTGGAGAAGAACATTCCGGAATATAAAAGGGACTGGACTTTTTGAGAAGCAAAGCAAGACGGTGCCTTACAAAGTGAGGCCTGAGCTCCAGAAACAGAAGGATCTGGAAACAGATCCCAGCTGCACTGCTAAAGTCACTGTGTGCCTAAGGACATCATTCACCCTTTCTGAATGGTGGCCTCCTCTGAACTTCCCTGGTTGTTAGTTAAACAAGCCATGCATGTACACAGTAGGTCTTCCATGTGTCTGTTCTGAAGGGATAACTGTATGGACTTAAAGGGCACACAGTAGGTGCACAATAAATGCACAAAGCCCTGCTCTGTCTGCCTCCTATCTAGCTCCCATTTCATTTTCCTGCGACTCTGTGGTCTTGCCTCTCCGAGCCCGTTTCTCATTGTACAGTTAGATTATGTTGACCAACTCATAATTCTGCTCTGTGTGTGTGTGTGTGTGTGTGTGTGTGTGTGTGTGTGTGTGAAGGGTGACACAAAGCGGTTAAGAGATGCTGCAGTGAAAATGAGGGCAGCTGATGTCCTGTTCTATTACTGAAATAAACACCAATCCAAAGTGGCTGTGCTCCTGATAGCAGCAGACACTGAACACCAGAAGATCCCATGCATCTGCAGTGAGGTAAACTCATCGCACGTGCAAAAAGCTGGGTGGTGTTTTCGCAGACCTGCACAGAGGTGAATCCCAGGGACACAAGCAAAGGCTAATCAGTGTGTCTGCACAAGAATATACCTCCTGTGGGGACCAAGCCCACCGTGCCTGCCGGGTAGAGTTCACCTCTAGGTACCCATGGCTTACAGAAAGAGGGTCTTTAAGGAACCACTGGAAGAAGGAGAAATGAAATCAGTCCATTACAGAAATAATTCAAGCCATGTCTCTTTGCTAGCCGTAAAGCAGGCCCTCCACCTCTCACCTCAGCAGCTCTTACTCACCAACCCCCATGCCACTCACTGCGGCAGTTCATTATTGTCGTCCTGGTGAATACAGAACAAGTTAACCTCTGAATGGGTCCCAGCAGCAGGAATAATAAGCAGGGGCCTCTCAGGCAGCCTCGGTGGGAGGATTGAGGGGGCCGGGCCAGGCTCCTGGGTCCCCTCTGTGAAGCTCAAGCCTCACAGGGTCAGCCCTGTGGCTCCATTTGGCAACTCCAGAAAGCATCATTCAGGGCCTTGAGCTGGGGCTCTTTTCACATTTGACGCTTCACTGAGTCCCCATCTGACGAGGATGAATAGGCATTTAGCGAATTTACTTAGCGATGCTTCCACATGAAATCATCTCAAAAGATGACATCTTAGGGGAGGAGGGGGAAGGGAGGGGCTGTGGCTTATGGGCCTGGAGCTGAGGATAAAGCCCCTTTCAAAGCAAAGCACTGTGCGCTTGGTTAGGTGGCTGGATGGGTGGGACGAGAGGACCCCTGCCCACCCTGTCTCCCTGGGGGCCCTGGGCCCCTCGCTCTCCTCCGGTGTAAAAATGCCTGCTCTGAATGTTAAAGTCTGGTTTCCCCAGCCCTTCTTGGAAAGGAAGGAGAATTCGGTTGAGGACCAATTCTCCTATTGTTGCTTTCAGACGCCTGTCAATAATTGCCTACATAATATTTAGTTCTCTCCAGATAATTAACAGCTTGTGATCTGTTGACACTTTACCCTGTTCCAGTTTTGCTCACTAGCTCTCTCTTTCTCTCACATGTATTTCTCACTCTTTTCTGCCAGAATCCTTTGCCAGCTCGTCCCTGGGACTTGTCTCTGCATCAGTTTCCCTGTACCTTCTGCTGATACGATTAGAAGTCACATCTCAGTGGATGCCATTTCTTCACCCTCCCAATGTTAACTGGGAACAAGCAACCAGCACTGTAACCATCGGAGGTCATGAGGCAACTGTTTCTGAAATAATAAATAAGTATATCACATGGAAATCTTGGTTGAAATGTTCAAATAAGAGTAATAAAATAAACTGCCAAATCATAGCATTTATCAAGCAAGCACTGTGTTTTAGGCCTTGTGGCAGACTTTTGCCATATTTTACTGCAACTGATGCAAAGATGCTACATAATGCAACTTTTATTCCCATTTTACAGACTGAGTCGCTGAGGCTCTGAGAAGTCAGTAATGGAGAAAAAGGCAGAAGCAGAACTGGAACCTGGTTCACAATGACCCAATAATGATGCATATCAATACTAGATGGCTTCTAAAGATGATGGAGACTGAATGAGCAGGTAAATGAATGAATTCTACTCCTGTAACAGGAGAAAATATACAGGTGCATTGTATCTCCACACTTGCAGCCTGGTCTGCATCTCAGCAGCCCCAGCACACTGTTATAAGGAACACCACATCACTGAGTTAACCTCTGCTTCCTAACAAGATTCCAAGGTGATAGTGTACCCTCTAATGCTTAAAAAGCACTCTCTTATGTCAAGCAGGAAGACCAGTAGTTAATGCTCTTCTTTGTGCCTTCATCTGCTCTTCTGGAAAGCCCAGACTTTGAGCGAAGTCCCTTCACCTTCATAAGCCTCAGGTGTTGCAGCATTAAATAAAATCACACCCGTAAGACCTCTACAGTAACACCTGGCACAGAGTAAGCTCTTGACAAATGTTAGCTGCTTAATAGTGTTTTTGCCATCTTCCATGACAGATGCTTAAGACTCTGTGAACTTGGAAGGATTTCTGTTTATAACATCTATAGAAAGTTTTTCAGAGCACAGAGTGAAAAGTGTTTCATGGGAGGAACTTGTATAGAACTCCTTCCCCAAAGCAGAAGCACTCATAGCCTAATGCTGAGACTGACAGGCTAAAGACAGATATATGCACAGGATGCTTGTGAACCTCAGGATTTAAGATCTTGAAGCCCTGATACTGCTAGATGTGCACAAACTTCACAGGGCACTGTCCTTAGCCTTCTTGGGCTGCTGGGGACCCCACCATTGTCGTGTGAGAATGCATGTGATGGGTGAGGCTGGGGGACTGTTGTGTGGGTAGCTGAGGATGGCAGGTTCAAGACGTCTTCTATCTGGGTTCAGAATAGACTACTTATTTCCTAAAGTTCTCATGTATCCATCATTCCCATGTTATTTCATGTATTTATGTAATGTAATGATAGCTTCATTCCGAGAAACAATATTCATGGTATCTGATATACTATTCTCATTTCAATTTTTCACTATGGCAAAATAATATTAACATAGCCATCTTAACCTTTTTTTAAATGTGTGGTACGGGAGCCTGAACCCAGGACCTTCTCACTGAGCTATGTCCATAGCCCATTTTATTTTGAGAGTTCCTCCCTTAGTTTCCCAGTTACCCAAGCTGGGCTCCAACTTGAGACACTCCTGCCTCAGCCTCACAGAGGTCTGGGATTACCAGTATGTGCTTGCCTGGCTACCATCTTAACCATTTTTCAGTGTTTACTTCAGTGATATGAAATACATCCCCAATACTGTGTAATCATCTCCACCACCCATTTCTAGAATTTTTGTCTTTCAAATGGAAACTCTGGACTCACTAAACAACAACTCTCTGTGCTTCCTTTCCTTGTTCCTGGCAACCACAATTTACTTTCTATTCTTAGGATTTTTATTGCTCTGAGTACTCCAAGAAAATGTAATTATACAGAATTTGTCTTTTTGCATATATCTTATCTCACTAGTATCCTAATCTGATATAGTACAAGTATTTGTTTTATATGTGAGAAACAACAATGATCACTGTATTTATTGTATATTTCCTAAGTCAACAAGCCCATTAAGGATTGCCTAAAGACTGATGATTGATTAGTTGAGGCCTAAGGAGTTCCCAGAATACAGAGTTCTAGATTTAAAATCCAATGGTCCTTGGTAAATTGAGATGAGTTGTGACATTAGGCATATGGACCCATCAAGGGATGTGTAATCACAGGAATTATGTCGCACTCCACAGGATTAGAAAGCCCATCTTTATATGAAACACACATGCACAGAA